ACAGAGGCAACATGAGAGGAAAATACCATCTAAACTTTTCTAAAGGCGGTCAATTCCCCTCAGAGATACATTCAACTAAACCTCCCCAACTGTATCGCAATTCGTTTAACATATCAAGCAACTTGAATCATCACGTTTTTACTGATTTTCAACCGGCTCAGGGTGCATCACTACATCCCTAGTATAACAGTATATCAATTAGGGCTGAACGATTAATTGCATTTGCGATAATATAGCGATATGAAAAAACGCGATTTTTCAATCGCAGAGGCTGCGATTACACTCGGTCACGTGACACGCGAGAGTAAAGAGGTGAGTTCGACTTGAAGATCGATCGGTGTATGACATCAAAGTACGGCGAGTGTCATTCATATCAATTTATGCATCACCTAATTTCATCGTAACATATAGGCCTGGCCTACAGAAAAGAACATTTATGCTTAATCTATCTAATAGTGTGTTGGTCATACTATACAATGATTTATAGCTTGACTTTGTTGAATAATACAGAACATAAATAGCTTTAAAAAATAATTGCATATTAAATCGCAATCGCAATATTGGTAAAAAAAAATCGCAATTAGATTCTTTTCCAAAATCGTTCAGCCCTAATATCAATGATACTAAAATAACACTGGCACAGCCTTTTCACAAACCAAACGCACTAGAAAGACAGTCAAACATGTTTGGAACAACATAAGTAAATTGTGACACAAGGTACATTTTTGGATGAACAATGTTATTTCAAGCTAATTAATTAAATGTTCAACTTGTGAAAAGTCAAAGTGCATCTTTGTTCAAAGTAAACGCCACTTTATATATGTGAGTTTTGAGATTCAAACTCTTCTCGTCTTCGCTGTAAGTGTGTGTTGACCCGATCCAGACACCAGCCTGGAGGAATCTCAAACTATTTGTTATTTTCCACATGCTTCCAACTTTTACGTGCCACCCGGTTTGACCTTTAGTCCGAGTCCTATATGGTGCTGCTTTAAGATTTCTATTGATTTTCTGAAATCTCACATGGTTCTGATAGAGCCACAAATATCTTGGCATTTAATTTAGCCTGAAGTACTTACAGAAGAAGACAAACATCTAGTGTCTAGACAATGAAGTCGACAGGCCGCTCATGGAGTGATGGCTGATGGGATGTCTGGGGAACCAGGGATGGGAATCGTAGGGAATTTAGCAATTCTGGGACTGATTCCTCATATCGATTTTCATGCCTAAATGATTCTTTTAACATTTGTGAATAAGAAACACAGTTATGATTGTCTTCACTTCATGTCAGGTTTCAGCAAATGGAGTGATTTCACAGAAATGACTCAGAAAATCCAACAGAATATAGAGTTCTGCTCATTTAGTTGCTACTAAATGCCTCAAACTTGGAGTATCTTCCCAAATTTAATTACCACAAACCTGAAAAGTAATTCGAATCACTTGGATTACCTGGTACCTTCTCAACACGAATAAAAGATGAGTTTACACAGACTTTATAATGTTGCACATAAATGCAGTTACAATTGGTCAAAACTAAATGTTTAACCATATATATTGCAATAATATAAAGCTAGGGTTATTTTTAAATGGGTAATGTCATTGGTATACTAGATTTTATTCATATTTTGAATTAATTGTTATTTTTATTGTTAATTTTATTAATAACAAATAGTTTGAGATTCCTTCGGGCTGATGTCTGGATCAGATCAACAAACTTACAGTGAAGACCAGAAGAGTTTGAATCTCAAAGCACACGTACAGAAAGTGGCGTTTATTTTAAACCAAGATGCATTTAAGTTGATTAAGACTAGTTTATCACTATATACAGTATGTTTTAGACATGTAAATCATCCACGTTTCACATCATTATTGGGTACTTTAATATAACTGTATATACGTTATGTCAGTGCATGATTATGTAAATGAACAGGTGAATCAGTTAACTGAATCAGTTCACTGAAATGAACTGTTCAAAAGAATCAGTTAGCATTTTTTAAAAGAAACTTGAGACTTTGGATTACGTTGTAATTAATGTTCAGTTTCTTGCACATACCGATCATTTCGCTTCATAAGACCTCAATATATCATCAGGAGCCACGGGGATTAATTTTGTATTGTCTGTATATGCTTTTTTGACTCTCAAAGTGCTGGTAGCCATTGACTTTGTTACGTCTAAGACGTATTGTATGCTGTGGATGTGTTCCTGTTGTCTCCTCTCTACCAGGATTGGTCCAAGGCTTAATGAGAGACTGCTGGTGGGTGGACCAGAGACGAGACCTGTACTATAAATTCCCCCGGGTCTCGCTGGAGGGCGCTCTCCCTCTTGCTCTCACGCTTGCTCTCACTCTGACTGCCACTTTTTATGCTCGCTATGATCATTGCTCTGTATGTCTCTCTTTGATTAATCATGCTTGCTCCGGTGTTAAACCTGTGTGTTAAGCTCTAGTGAAAATGCTGTGAGATCTCAAGTGTATATTCTACTAACAGAGTGCTGTTAGCTCCATGTGTTGTGAAAGCCTTATGTCTTGAACTTCGATGTTCCACTGTTCATGTTTGTAAGCCACGTGCGAGGCCGTAGTGGGTGAGTGCCTTATTTGTTTTTATAGGCCACTCGGCCATTACCCTTTTCTCCTGTTTTTGGGTAGACAAGGAGTGAGGTTATATTGTTGTATTTTGGTTTCTTTATTTTGATGCACAGGGAAGTTAGTTTCTTTAATGGGAAGTTAGAGTGTTGTTTGTTTATTGTTTTGGCATTTGCTCACCCCTGATAATTTACCTCAGTTTCTTTAATTTGTTTATTTTCGTGATGATATTGTTTGTACTCTCCAAAACTGCTACCGCACGAAAAGATTGATCAGAAGATCAACTAAGATAATTAAAATGAGTACTTAAACAGCCATTCATTGTTGTGTCGTTTATGTTGCGGTCCTGACCTAGACCGGGGCCGTAACAACTTGCATTCTACGAATCACCAAGGACAATGATTTCAACTAAAAATCTTTACTGTTCTACTGAAGAAAAATGTCATGCACATCTTGGATGTCCTGAGAGTGAGTAAATTACCAGCAAATTTTCATTTTTGGGTGAACTATCCCTTTAAGATTCAAGACATTACAAACCAAAAGCCCATCTCTTTCTCACAGAGTCCAGTGTGTTGTGTTGGTTTTATTCAGAGTTTGGTGTCAGTCTCCAGCGGGCAGGTGAGCGGATGAGGCGACTGCAGCCTCCACTTTTTTTATCTGCGGCCTTTAAGCAGAAACATCAGACCGGGTGCTGCAGTCTTTGAAGCACTGCTCTCAGAGCCTCCTACACTGTGTGTGCTTGTTTGTTTGTTCACAGGCGTGTGTGCGTGTGCATCACACCTTTGAAGGCTATTTTCCACGAGGAACAACAATTACACTTCCTCCTACTCCAGTCATTAATGTTGTCGTTCCTGGAGGAAGCATGTTTGCACTTAAACACTGCGCTGCAGTGGCAGTAATAGGCTGAAACGATTCTTTAAGCCTATCTGTTAGCTCTTGAAACGCGAGGTGGGCCATTCTTTGAGCTCATCTGTAATGTGGTCACCTGTCAGCCTCAAGAGGAATGCGTTCACAGATACACCGAATGCCATGACACAAGCGCAACTAATGCAATATACAGCTGAATCTCACTGAAGCTGATGAGCTACTGCAAATGATACCAGATGCCCACGGTCATCAAACGTGCCGTGACCCATAAGGCTTTGCACGGGTAAATGGACAGCTCTTGGCCGGAATGACCTGCAAGTTGCATTTTCAATGAATTAGTTCAATTAATTATTAACATGTCAAATATTTTATAGTCTTTTTGCCACTGTAGACTATTAGAATCAGGGTATTAAAGTGAACTAAAACCATAAATAAACACACACACACACACACAAACACAATATATATATATATATATATATATACGCCAAGGCAACATTTCATTTAGTATGAAGTGTTAAAATAAAATAAAATTAAAAATAAAAATAAATTTATAAAAACTATATAGACATGTTTTTAAAAATATATTAATAATAATAAAAATGGCTATAGAATTATTAAAATGTAAACTAGAATCAAAGGGAAAACATGAAACAAAAATAGAATATAATTTAAAACATTAACAAAAACCATTATAATATCTCAGTGATCTGAAATAGCATCTACCGATCTAAAATGAAACAGTATGCTTTACTTTTAGTTAATTTAAAAGCATTAACTGTAATATGCTAATTGTAATATGCCCAAAAGGTTTTTTTAAGAAGTTTTAGTTAATTTTAGTTTCAGTTTTAGTTCAGTTTAGATTATTTCTATAGTGCTTTAAACAATAGAAACCATTTCAAAGCAGCTTCACAGTAATAAACAGTAAAATAACAGAATACATCATGCAAACTTGACTTTTTTAGTTTATTCTGGTGAAGAACTTCCCACATAGATAAGAACCAGCAGGACATAACTGTCCGACTGACATGTAAAGCGATCAATCAGTCAGATATATTATCCATGATGACTAGAAGCGGGTAAATATGAAATTATTGATACCACATTAACAGACCAGCGTAGAACATAAGAGTCAATAAAAACAAAGTACAGAACTGTTTATCTGAGTCCGGCTGAAGATAAAATGCCACAGAAATGAGTAGAAATGGTTTGTGACTTTGTGATCTGAATCCTGCCCATCTAAAAGTAATTCTTTCACAGACATAACTCACAAAACAGCAGAATATACAGTTCTGCTCATGAATATACTTCAAATGCTACTGAATGCCTCAAACAAAACTTTTGCTACCAGGTTAGCTTTTGATGCCACTAACCTGGTAAACCTTTGCAAAATAAATAGTTTTTTCTCAGACATGATAATTGGATGACTGGAAGACTGATTTCCAAATAATATAAATGTGAACATTTTTCAAAAATCGCCCGGCAGCCATCAACAACTGCCTCTCACTTTGATGGAGAAGTTGAACAAATTCTAGTTTGATCATAAAATGTGACATGAATGGGCAAATGATGAAGCAGAGCAGTGAATATTGACTGAAGGTGTTGAATTACCGTCTCTGCGGTTGAGTTTGGCGAAGCCCGGCCCGTGACTGCTGGACAGCTCTGATGAGCTTGTGAAGGCCGACTGAGGCAGAGCGGAAACCAGCGGAGAATCACAGCTCTCTACAGACACACAGAAACACACATCAGAAACATACTGACGCACAGAGATACTCTTCAAACCACTGGAGTCAATTAATACTTTTATTAAAGGCAGAGTAAGTGATTTCTGGTAGCCAATGTTGACATTTGAAATCACCAAAACAAACACGCCCCTACCCCAAAAGG